CCAAGGGGTATATTAGTATTGCGACAGGGATTCGAACTCTCAACCCTCTGATTGAGATTTAAGTGAATAAACCACTCAACCACGACACATTATTGAAACCAGAGACTGACTTCTAAGGAAAGTGAGGGATGTGGGCTGGAAGAGGAGGGGAAATGAAAAGAAAAGGTGACATCAAGCCGGCACACACACCACTCAATTTGTTCCATTCGCTATAATCGTCCAGAAACAAGTCTCCAACATGCTGAAAGGGTTAAGTCCATACAGCGAATGTCTCTTTGCTGACAATAATGTATGATCTATATGAACTTTACCCTCAGTATGTTGCCGAACACTCGTTCTATCACTATTCTATTTTCTACCTAAATAGTTCAATGTGGAGCCTTGCCCGCCATATCGCCGCAATGGATGGTTAATTATCTGATATAACCTCCACTCTTTGCTCTAGACCATTTGCCGAGACTTAATAAGCCTTCCATTTCTTTATGATACGTACAAACTATCAAAGATTAATGAGTTAACCAAAGTTTCAGATATACTACATTTATATCTTCAGTAGATAACATGTTAGTGAAACTCAACCAAACCACCATATATCTTTAAGTGGATCTGGTATTTTTGTCTCAGATTCTGAAACAAAATCCTCGATTTAGCTCATGCTACAATGATAATTATAAACCTTTGAGTCAGTTAGGAACCCCATGACTTTTACAAGCCGATCGCCTGTCCGATTATCAAGATATTTATGATTGGAAATCGAAACCAAATGTTGAATTTGCCTAACGGTCTTCATAACACTACAGTCTATTGGGGAAAACGAGTATGGTAAAACCGGTCACTCAAAGATTTTTACGTTTTTCAGACACTTCTTGTTCATTCTGAAGCGCGATTTTTGTTTGGGCTTCAATATTACACCATATCACAGACACTGATAACACGTAGGGCCATGCATCTCAGATTCAACATTGTTAAACGATGCCTTTAAAGCAAGGATAAATCACACAGCTTAAACGCTATTGCAACTGCCATCTTGTTTATGGCAATAAATCGAATCCATTGACGGGACAATTTGCTGACATCATCCGCTCATCGCGCCAATAGATTGTAAAATGCACCACTAATTTAATCTCCGTTAATTGGGGGGGGGGGGGGGGGAGGGGGTAATTTCTCCCCACTAACCCCTTTGTCAAGGATAAAGCTACTCCACCCTTGACAGATCACTGTCGGTATGACCACATCAATCTCAAATCGGTCGTTATACAAACTCTGAAATAATTTTACAATATATTCTCTTGGATAAATATGACTTTTTCATACTCCTAACCCTTTTCCCAAGCAGACCTTATCAATCTTATCAAAGTGATGTTGTCCCTCTAGCTTTCTCCTTCTCCTCCTCCTCTTGATAATCAAAACGCAGGCACAACATCCATCAGACGACAATTGATCATCATCACTTTTCGTCAGGCGGGGATCTTGTGAGATATTTGTTTTGATCTCTCCACAAAGGAAGATAAGATAGAGAGGAATCTCCCCGCGTTCGTCCTTGTCTTGTCATACTTCGCTTGACATGTTGTGTCCCCATGGGAATGTTGGCGCGAAAAAAGTTTTTTGTTGATTTCGTTTTGCACATCTGTTCGTCTGCAACATTCGTCTCTCCCGTGAGACAACCAAGCGGCATTGGTAAAATGAATAACAGACGATTCTGCACAGGCTGCTACCAATTCTTTACCGTCTTATTTTGTCACAGAATGTATCGTATCGACATGATAAGCTTGAGGAAAAAGGTAAATAATTTGGCGGCAACGGTATGCCAAACGGAAGGAAGTAAATATTGGGTAAACCCTTTGTTATTCACTGAAATTCAGGATAATAAGTTACCTAAAGCTGCCAATAAACAAATCAAATAGAACTTTCCGTTTAGAAACTCTAATTATTCCTTCTGAAAGATGAAACCTCTAGTCCCTAGTTATCATGGTAATATACAGCCTCATGAAACAAAATTAAATTTGGCTTGGTTTCAAGATTTAAAAACTATCGAATCATGAGCTATATTTGTAATATTAATTGTCATTTCTGTCTGACCGTATTTGCGACCAAGCTGTAGTGCTGCTGGCTACGATCACGCGATGTGTTTTCGTCAACCGACTTTTGTCCTCGGCATCATTTTCGTCATCCGCCTTTGCCGCGAGACCACACTACCCTGTTCAAGGTTTTAAGTCCCCTGGTATGCCTGAACCACAATACCTAATACACATCCACGTTTTAATTCAATCAAATTTCCATTAACCACACATGATATGAATTATATACCAGGTATGGACAGATCTGAAATCATCCTCAAGCAGACAATGAGTTCGCTGTTTTTGGATGCGAACGCTGCTAATCAAACTAACTACATGGTTTGGAGCAAGAAGAGCGATATATGATATACTTAAACATAATAATGAGCAACTTCCGCCGTATACGAATATGACTTATCCTGCAGGCATATCTTGTGTAGGCTCAGGTCACGACAGAGCATTACTTGGATGGTGATTACCGTATGAACTGCTTAGGTGTTTTAACAAACTACGGGCTACTGTAAGACTGTAAGTTTCGCAAAATGGTAAATCAAATATAACGGACAACTGTGTGCCTTACTCTCCTCAAAGGCATCCACAACGACCGAATAAGGAATATGGTATTGTTGTCATTTTGACAGCCTACATTGAATCATCTACAGACCTTGCCCTTTACCTTCAAGACACGCGATGTTACAATCGGAACTGAATGTCTAAGGAACGTGACATCCAAGTTTCAATCTAACCTCCAAGGTCCTGCTAAAGGTCAACTGAACATAGGTTTTTTTTTCCATCACGGCCCCAATCTCCGCAATATTTCAAACGGCGAAACACAAGGGCATTTCAATTGCCCACGCGTTCAGACGGCACATTATTTGTCTAACCATGTCTAGTGCATGCTGGGACAGCGGAAGTCGCTCACAGCTGTTTGAGGAACGGACACTGCCCTGTCAAGAATTGGGTTACTGATGATGACGTCATTACAATCAAAACAGCCGTCTTGGGATAGATAGTCCACCATTTCAGTCGAGCCCCCTCCCCCTTTTACCATCTCATGGAGCAGAAAGTAATTCTCTTTACTGTCTCTGTCATATCAGAATCACCCCCAATAGTTTGCCATCATGAATGGATATAATTTATAAACTGAATTATTTCAGTTTTAGATGGTCGTGATTTAGAAATCAAGTAACAAAATAAATGGATGCAATCAAATATAATCAGTGAGCATTTGCAGATATTATCTGACTAATGTGACGCATATGATGATATGTCTGATGATGTTTTCAATAATATATTCTCTATCCAGTGGAGTAATATACACACCCAGTGATGACAAAGCATATAGAATACATTCAGAAGATAGGCTTCAGAGCAATTTCTTCTAATCACGTGAGACCGGTTCTCATAATTTGGTTTAAATATCAACAGAAATGCGTTTTACAATTCTCATATAATAAGTTCGACAATATGCAACATCTATCAATGCCAGCAGAGCCTTTCTTTAGACAAAGCACATGAGGACTAATTCGACAACGTACAATACCGCTATGTCCTTACCTTTTATCCCAAAGACCCTTCACATGTAACCTGAATGCCAACAATGTTTGCTAGCCCTGGGACTAAGCTCAGAAGAGATTACACCCCATACTCAAGACATTAGAAACACTCTTTTTACTCGAGGCGAGTCTCTCTCTCTCTCTCTTTCTACCATCTGATGAAAGCTCAAGATTACATTCTTGTTGAATCAGGTTTGGAAGCTACTTCAACAATGTGCATCCCAAAAATTCCGTCAAACTGGACAAATATTAGTCCGGTCTTGAACGGTCTCTTAAGAAAATGGAAGGCTTTCAAACCTGAACAAAAGTCGAGCAGCATTGTAAGGGGTGGAATAAAAGATGGACCTTTTAGACCTTCAATGGATGGAGAAAGATTTGGTCAATTTCGTCTATATCCAGGCCAGGGAGCTCCGACATATCTCTAAGTGATAAAAGCCGGCCGGCAAAATGCGAATTAACTGGAGATAACTGGAGATTGTCAGTGATGTATTGACGATGGGAAAGTCTTTTCGCACCTTGTGTTGCAACCCTTTGTGGCAATTAGTTTCATGTAGAAAGGTATGCATGGAGCTAATTTTAGCCACATATATATTAGTCTTGATAGATTTAACAGTCAACCTTATGAATGCAGGTCACTTATATGACTGACTTGACTATCTGCCCCCTTCAGTACATAGCATTTTAATGAGTCAGAGTCGTTTTTCACTGACCAGTACCAAGTCATCTATAAAGGTCAAACTCATTTTTGTTGACAGATGCAAAATCTTTGACACCAGCATCTCCTTAAATAATCCATCAGTGGTTTCAAATTGACATAAATCCTGTCTGTAATAATGAGTATTGTGCAGTGTCCAGTATGTACATATTTTGTACACACCTCCGACCGAAATCTAAAATGTCAAAGTTGAAAGCAGTCATGTTTTCTTCGGAGCATTATCTGCCACATACCATAGGAAAGTCACAGGTTACCAATCACAGATCTGTTGGTGAAACTTGTTTTTAATTGTTCAATAAAGTGGCTTCAAACGCATTCTAATTCTATACAATGAAAGCTCTGATTCGTTCCCCCATATGCTCTAAATCAACCGAGCACAAACATACTAGGAACTACATAATTTCTCAGCGTGCGTCTAAACGTATCAATTTGAGAAAAAGAAACTACAGGTGTACTTACAGAAGAGGTCAACTTTACAAAATACATACATTCTTAAGGTATGATAATAGGCAGTTTCATTCACGCAGCCATTGTTGTCTGAGATGTATTTCCCCCCATAAATATTTACACTGCTTTCCTTCTCAAATAAAAATTCTTAGAGCTTCGTCAATGAGACACATTCATCAATATTCTATCTACAATAATTAACATTACGATCCGAAACCTGTTACCTTAGACTGTTATTTTTTTGCTCATAAAACAAATCAAAATCAAAATCACTCTTAAAGACGTACAGGAAATCCGTTGTCAGTGCTATCGCTTCTCCTGATGAGCGAAAATGTCGTCATGATTACATTTCAAGTACGTTTTCTATTCTGATATGATTCGCACACATTTTATATCAAACAATTTCATAACTGTCATCAATTTTAGGAGTAACGAAGACTCAAAATACAGCAAAATGTTATCGAGATAACTAATTTGAATATGGGTCACACACGCAAATATAATCAAATTTCATTTTCAGAATACCAAAGCTGCCTTTAGTAGATTACAGTGACTTCAAGATGTCCATCAAGCAATTCCGAGCTTATGATCTCCTGAGGGACTCAGCATCACTCGTGAATTCTTCCACAATGGGTCCAGTCGGTGTTCCTTTGCCGCTAGAACCCTCTACATGTGGCCTGACTTGGATGGGGATGGTCCGCTCATTGGCCTGGGCTAACTGTAGCTTGGGAGCCTCCAGGGTCAGGATGCCTTTCTCAGACAGGTAGCTTTTGACTAACCTCAGATCGACGTCATCAGGCAAGGTGTACTGACGGTAGTACTCTCTTTGAACGAAGCCGCCTTCTGGTGTCCCTTCACGGTGCTCAGCACGAACAGTCAGTTTATTATCCTTGATCTTAACTTCAATGTCCTCTGGTCGGTATGAACTCACATCAAGGGTCACCTGGAACCGTTGACTGTCGTACTCGATCTTACTCGTCTGGCGTTCACCAAGGCCCTTCGGTGGCCCTGATGACTGGCTCGTCAGAGAAACGGGTGTGACGTAATATCCTTGGTAGAGGGTCGGAGAAGGTGAAGGAGGATCGGACGAATAGATCGATGATCCCGGTGACATCCCGGGGTCCTCGTAAACGCGTCGCTCGGTTGTTTTCCTGGTCGTGGTGGTGGTCTTGACGCTAGATTGTCCTCCTGGTCCTCCAGATTGACTTGTTGTGACGTATGTGCTAGACTCGGGCTGAGAGTGTTGCTGGAGGTATGGTGGTGGCGCTTGGTTTGGCTTGATAACCGTTGGTTCTGCATTCGGGGAAAGAACAGTGATAGTTGGCATTCCCTGGTTACCTCCACTTTGCTGCTGCGGCACCTTGTGCACCTCGACTGTGGGCTGACCGAACTGTGGAGGACCGCCAGATATCACTGTCGGAGTTATTGACCCACCTTGTCCAGAATTGACGCTATATTCCACCCGGGGATGCGAAAACGGAATTCTAATTTCGATATTCATGATCGCTGTTTAGTTTCCAGTCAATGGAAAGACAAACAAATAACAGAAAACCGTCTGGTGTTTGATAGTTCGAGCAGGATTTTACTTGCCTATATCTGTCAATGTCACGTTTCCGCGCGGTTGGGTATCGTCTGCTCTTCACACAAACACGAAATGAAAAATAAACAAATCCTCCTGTCTGGGTTAGATGTGAAGTCACTGCACGCTCGTCCACGCCAACCTTTGCACACTGCTGGCTAGTATAATCCGCAACTGAACATTCCAAAGTATAACTCCTCAGTCTCAGCAAACCACGAGAACCTTCTAGAAACTTCCGGGTATTCTTGCCTCCAGCGAATATGTAAATCCGAGCTTAACACGTCCACTTCCAGTTTGCCACAGGTGTTGAAGGCGACACGATGAGATGTGTCTGGCCTATTTTGGTCAGCTATCGCCTCATGAACAGAACCAGCATTCGTCAGCTATCACAAGACTCCAAGCTAAAAATGCTGCACTGTTGCGATCTGAAATTATCTGAAAGTAAAGCGTCAAGTACCGTCCAGAGTTTACTAGCGAACTACTTCACTCAGACTTAGGAGGAATGTTCGGGCTCAAGTGCAACCGGAATGATTACACTAGAAATGTTTATCTCGAGAAATTATTTCCGCTTGAGCTTTAAAAGAAGTATAATAAAAAGTCAACTCCGTGGGCACACTGGCCGCTGCCGCCCACTAAGTGACATACACCGGCAATCGCAAAAATCTTTCACGAGATGGTGTAGAGAGTGAAAGAGTGCATCCCTTATGTCGTCTGCGCGAAAAGAATATATCCTTTACATACAGTATTCCATACGCCGGGTATACGTTGACGTGCATTCCTTGCTGCTCGCCTCATGCTACACGCTGTGGTAGCAGCGCTGGATACGGGGTGACGTGGTCCAAGTTGGTATGCGATCTATGTATGTGTCTACCGCATCATCTATCGCTCACCCGAAGGCGAGGAGGGAGGGAGGGAGGGAGGGGTCGTGGGGAGGGGTGGTCGGTGGGGTTGGTAAAGGGGCGGGGAGTAGTGTTATCGCACATGGATAGGATATTGATACACAGAACTTTACTCCCTCACTACTCCTTACTCCAAAGTTTATATTTGAAAGTGCTAAAGATCGCAATCCTGTGTTTAAAAGGGTGATGAATTCCAGTCACGGTAATGTAAAAATACTGACTATACATTGATCCTGTTAAGCCAATTAAATTAATGATTAAATAGCTGCTATGATAAAATAAGCTAAGACCTGTGCAACGTGCAATGAAACCATGCAAAGAGAACGTGTATGTAATAACTTTGCATTACAAAGGAAATTTTGACCTACCGCTCAAAAAAAAAAATGATTAAGGTGTACTCATAAGACTATAACTATAGGCCGAGATCGGTACCGACATAGCCATGTCTTGTCTTGGTATTCAACTTTTTTTTTAAAGTCGGCCAAAATATCTTGTTACATTAAGGCTTCTATCTATTGTATCGTAATTATTATCTATTAATAGCGTGAGTATTAACATTTCAACAACTCCTCGTTACAGACTTGACGTAATGCTTCTTTCTGACGTAACAAAGGAAAAGAAAACATATCAAATGCCCTTTTGTTACGGCTCATAGTAATGTTCTACTATCAAGTAACCTTGAAGAGTAGTGTAAAGAAGTTCTCCTGGTTTGAATACTTGTTTTTCCACCAATGCACAATAATTCATTAGTCGGATAGGAGAAAGGCAGTCATCTTTAAAAGAATTAGAAAAGTAGTGGAATAATTCCTTTAACAGTCACAGAAAGTGAGTAAAGATTGACCGACACTGCATGGACGCATTGAGTGTGTGAACTTGGAATGCGTCCAATGACTGTCTTCATACGAATCCCATCCTTGGTAAAACCCACTTACTTAGACAATTTAAAAATAGCTTTTAAAAAGAGCGCGAGCATGAGCAACGCATCCTTATGGGTAACTTGAACTATCAATCGTATATCATCATGATCATTTCTTTCATCTTGTCGTAACTTGACCATATCCTACGGTCAGTTTGGAAAGTAGGAATCCATTGTCTATTGAGAACAGAAAGGACGATGACACAGTGTTCAATGATGTGAGCTAACGCCTTTCTTGCTCTCAGTTGAGCCTATCAGTGAACCGATTAGGAAAATTAGTTTGACCAACGACCTCCAATACTGCGACTGGCGTTTACCTGTTAGGTTATACAAAACCCAAATAAAAAGATGATCTGTGTAGTACCGTTTCACAATGGTATTTAATCGTATTTGAATCCACTTCGTAGGGCAGTCTGAACATGATCGCAAATGCTTTCCAAAACTCAACCTTTACTGGCCTTGCACGTTACCTTAATGTTGCGCGATCTGAACATGATATCTATGGGACAGATTATGGAATATGAAATCGCCCTTGAGTCGATATCTGGGAAATCTTTGCGATTTTTTTTCTTTTCTTTTTTCAATAAATAGTTAAAAAAGCAAGATCTTGATAACTTTAGAAGTAATAAAGGATAAGGTAAACAAAGCATACTGATAAACTTCATGTGTCGCATCTAGATACTTGGTATTTCTTACCCTACATGCACGTCTATTCTCCTTTCGACGCACCATCCTAACCGATCATGTTCCCGATTAATTAGGTTAGGGCAAGGACATTTAAGGCTGGTGCAGTAAGAAGGAGGGGTAGAGAAAAGGTAATGGGGATGGGGAGGAGACGGGGAGACGGGGAGACGGGAAGGAGAGATTCACCTTAAAAATAAAAGATACAGCACAACAAAAGCACGCCGAACAGCCCCATCCTTTTATCTGTTGATATAACACTTTAGATTTATATTCTTTAAAAAACAGATAACGTAATACTTTATTGTGATGTTCGCACATTTCATTTAGTGAAATGGACATTGGACAAGGCTATTGACATTGCAGCAAGTTCAATTTATTGGGGGAGGGGGACGGGAGAGGGAGGGGAGGGGAGGGGGGGGGGCTCCAATGTAACCGAAGCTAGGGGTGATGAACGCATACATCCAAGTGTAAGTCACGCCTGGTGCATAGGAGGCATCTATACCCTATAACTGATCATCGATACAGGGTGATGATGAATAATCTTAATGGAGGGCTCAGGCCAACGGAAGATAAGAGGGGCATTGTCATCACCAACACCAATAGATCATATCCATTTTTGTTTTGCCTCCAACAAACCACCACTGGAAGTGTGGTGATAGAGCAGTTGACTTAGTATTAACTTGTCCCTCGTGTATTATGATGGCCATCGGCTGCTTATCTGGATGCATTATACACTGTTGCCCAAAACATTGTAATAAATTGTCTTATCTCTTTTCATTAAGGTATTTTGATAAAATGGTTTGTTCTTGATAGATAAAGTTCATATTTTCTCAGAACTTTATTGTTCAATCTAAAGAGTCATAGAGATTGAAAGATAACGTTCTGAGAAGAAATGCACCTTGTCTATCATGAATAAACCATATTGTCACAATCATTTCATGAAAAGAGCTAATGCAAAATTCTTGTATTCAACAATCGATATAATTTTAGCGATTTCAATATATTTGAGGGAATGGATATGAACTTTTGAAGAAAAAAAAAATGAAAAGCGTTCCTTCGAATGTAAATTTGTTTTTTAGGCATGTTAAGTATGACTAAATCATATTTTTACTAAAATTATGATGATAGAATGGTAAATGTACACATATGATTTTTATTTTATTTGAGAAGGGGGCTATTACCTTCCCCTTTCTGCCTATTTGGCTACACCACTGCATGTATACCAGGCATGCCCACGGCTGACCTGTTTCGTGTCCTGGTATCTGAGTGGTATATAGGAGGAGACACACAGGAGGATCCAGTCAAGAGTGCCACTGATTTTAAGGCTGATGAGTCCTCTCTATTTCAACAATATGATAGCCTTCTAGCATTCTCATCCGGTCGGTGGATGATGACGGATGGATAGGAAGGTGTGCCTCCCCCTCTAAGGGGCATCGCATGGGATGGGGCGTTTAGAGCCAAGGCAGGGGGAACATATGATAGGGGGATCGATGGGCCCTAGACGGCGCCCCCTCAAATCTTGCGAAAATATAGATTCTAGCATTAATGATACTACATTATTTTGATTACCCAGGGAAGCCTCATCAGCATCAACGCTGTTCTTCATTAATAATAATAATAGCTCACATTTATAATGCGCCTAATACTACGTTTCTATGCGCGGAATTATTATTACCCCGGTCTTCGGATTCAGGCTTACACGCATACAAGGTATGCACATTCTCCACTCCCTGGGGAGCATTCCAGCCATTGCTAATCAAACCACATTAGCTTTCGCATCCTACCGGGTACCCATTTTAACACCTGGGTGGAGAGTGGCAAATGTAGGTTCCTGCATTTACTACATATACCCCAGCAATTGCCCCGATTTAAACCTGGATAGAGAGTGGCAAATATGGATTATACAGCTTGTCTTGCCCAAGGACGTTAGTGCCGGGAAGGGATTCGAACAATCAACCCAAGGATTGGGAATCAAGAGAATGACCCAATACAACACGACAGATCCACGACGGTACATGACGACAGAATGAAGATTAATAGGATGGTATACCCACGTGCTTCCCGAAGGTATACCATGGGGTGGGGCATTTAGAATAGGGGATGGAAGGCACATAATTATGCTAGCCGGGAGACCTAAACGGCCGCCCCCACAAATTTCGAGAGAGAGAGAGCGAAAAAATATGATAACCTTCAAGCATTCTCACCAGGACGGTGGATGATGACGTAATGAAGACAGATGGGAGGGTATGCCCCTCCCCGTTCCTCCCAAGGGTATCCCATGGGATGGGGCATTTAGAGCCAGAGTAGGGGTAGCTCTACCCCTTTTTAGGGGGATCAAAGCAAGAAAAGCATTTTCAGGCGTTAACAAATAAAAACAACGCCTTTCATGGGCCGAAAATCGCTGGACGTATATTTCTCTCAAC